TACTCATGTACTACTTTTTTTTCCCTGAAAAAAATCCTAAAAAGACTCATCGGGAGACAATAAGCCAGAGACCTTCTAAGTGATTAAATAAAACGAAAAATCCCTGGGGTGAAAATTCTGGTTTCCTACCCGTTTAAACTAATTTTACGCTATTATGTCATTTCTTATTTATCTCGTTTTTATTATTATATACTTTGAATAGATTATAAATAMATTTTCTAATCAAAAAAATAATAATAAAAACATAAAAAAACGATAATCGTGATAAATCAACGTACTACAATAGGTATCAGAGCTTAATTAAAATGAGGTTAGGTTGTATGAACTGTTTTATTTTTTATCTAATGAGTAATAGTTAAAATAGTTGAAGTAAATAGTTATGCCATATTAAAGGAATGTGCTAATTTTTTTTTTTTGTAGGGGAATCCCACAACAACATAGCCCATTGGGTGTAGGGTGGTACGGCAGGGGTTATTTTTGTTTGTAGTTTTTAAAGTTGGTAAGGTTGTAACACGTGTTTATGTATGTGTGACAAGGATATGTTGCTGAAAATCTCGGGTGGTCACCCATCCGAGAGCTAGCAACTGCGACCGATACGTACGTTCAGTGCGTTTCCGCAGATTTAGCGTACGATCGCGACTCATCAATTATGTGCTAGTTGTTATATCTATATTGTGCTTAATATTGTAAAATATTAAATAAAATATTGTCAATGATTATTCTTTTAAGGGATAAAAAGGAATATTTCTTTGCATATAAAAGTTATAACTTACAAAGTTGGTGAAATGTATTATTTATTTTAATAAAATTTGAAACTGCTATAAGTATCATTAAAAACAACAACATGTTATGATAATGGTATTTCCAAAATATGTTTATAAAAATAGTTTTAAAATTAATTTATGAAATTTTTATGAAAAAATAGAACACCAATGTCAGCTACTGATTGAAAAGATTTTAAAGGTTTTCAGATAAAAAAATAACAATTATTGCACTTTTGGGAAATATATAAAAAAAAATTTACACAGCTACACATACGTTATAGATCAAATGGTTATAGGTACAGAAATTATGTATTTATCCACAATAACGATGAAAAGTTTTAAAATTGCCAGAAGTTTCTTATAGGTTGTGTGTTTGTTTAATTTTAAATTAGTCACAAAACCAAAAAACTTATTTTAGCTGAATCGTGTTGACATTGATGATTTTTAAAAGTGCTACATTTGATGTTTAAATTTTTAGAGTTCGTTTCAACTTTCGTTGCACGATAGAAGATATCACATTAATAAGTTTTCAAATCTTGAAGAACTATATCATAAAATATACTATATATTATACATAATACATATACTATTTTTTAGTATATATAAGTTTTGTGTTTACTCGATTCAGTGCCCCGCAAGTTGGACTTTTTATAACTCAAGTGTGTTACTTTTTTACGTATTCATATTAAAATTCAAAATTTAAGTTCCTGAATCTTACGTTTTATCAAATAAATTATGTTTTATAGTTAAAAATATAATTGGTGACTGATATCAGATATTCAACTTTGTACTAATGCTAATTTACTATACAMATTTACTTGGATAATCTAAAAAATTTAAAATATGGTTTTGTTTAAGTAAACACATTAATATTAAATGAATTGTATTTCAATTCGTAAGTTCATATTATATTTATTTGATGAATTAAATCATAAGTGAAATACATACAATGACATTCAATTAGTCCAATACTGAATTTAATCAACAATTATTGCTATAAACTCTATTCCGTTTTTAATTGAATTGGTAWKATAGGTAGGTAGCATAGATGATAAAATGATTTCTATTTAATTATAACTACAGTTTATAATTTTTGACTAGCGTTTATTTTAGTTACGTTTTCAGTTATTCTAATT